GCGACAGAGTGAGACTCCGTCTCAAAAAAACAAAACAAAACAAAACAAAAACAGCCTAGCACAGTAATTTCACAACATTCTGCTTTTCATCCACATATCACTGTATGTTCTGTTTATATAGAGCAAATCTTTAAAGTGGATGGTTACTGTAAATGTGATAATGAAAGGCAGTAGCTTTCATGTGGATCATCTTTCTTCCTTCTCCAACAGGTATGGCAGATCCCAGAAAATGGACTCACGCTTTCCCTGACTGAACCTGTGGTGATTTTGGAAGGCCACTCAAAGAGAGTCGGCATCGTGGCTTGGCATCCGACAGCCCGCAATGTGCTTCTTAGTGCAGGTGAGAGCTGAGCTCAGCGGTCCTCCCCTTGTCTTCCACTCTTGTGGCTCTCTGAGTGGGGGGAAGCAAATGTGTTTTGGTTGTGTGCTCTATGGTTTTAAAGCAGATTATTAGGAAACCATGGTGAAGAGGATTGGGTGAGGTGCACTGCTCCCCTAGCCCACACACATACTTGTGTGTGTGTGTGCATGTGCGTGTCTTTCAGGGCCACTTTGACAACCTGAGGAAAGCTATGTATTTCCTGCTATAATTTCAGCAGGTTTCATGGTTCCTGCCAGGGCCCTCCATGAACCATAGTTTTGTTTATTTCTGATATGTAGAAGGTATACTTGGTTGGGAGCCAGAAACCCTGAGTTCCGTCTGTGGTGTTGCTGCTGGCTTTGGGAGACCCCATTAGGCAAATACGCTCCTTCGTTTTTAAAAAAACTCATTTTCCCCTGCTATACAATTAGTATATATTAGTATATGTTCTCTATAGTATACACAAAAGGAAAAAAAAAATCACTTTTCATCCCACTACTCAGAGGGAAGATCATTATTACTTTTTTGATGTTTCTTTCTGAAAGGTATTTCTGTGCACATACATAAATTATTTTACACACAGAGATGGATTCATACACTTTACACATGGGCTGCTTTCTGTACTTGGTGGTACGCTGTGACCCTTTTCAAGTGCCATTGAACACTCTTCTATTTTTAATGACTTCATACTAATCCATTTTCTGGATATACCTCATTTTACTTGATTAGTCCCCTATTTCTGGATATTGGTGTTGTACAGAAATCTTTTCCTTTATCTAAAATTGGAGATTTCATTTTCTTTTATGGAAGCAATACAGAGAGCATGAGGGAACTTTGTGGGATGATGGAAATATTCTGTATCTTGATCATAGTAGTGGCTACATGAGTATATACATTTGTTGAAACTTACCAAATATATGCTTAAGATAGGTGCATTGTATTGTATGCAAGTTATACCTTAATAAAAGTGGTTGCCAGGCACGGTGGCTCATGCCTGTAATCCCAGCACTTTGGGAGGCCGAGGCGGGCGGATCACGAGGTCAGGAGATCGAGACCATCCTGGCTAACACACTGAAACTGTGTCTCTACTAAAAATACAAAAAAAATAGCCGGGCGTGGTGGCGGGC